AAAAAAAAAAAAAAAAAAAAAAAAAAATTGAGTGGCTAAGGGATCAGAAATCAAATGTCAAGGTAGCCCTCTAGTGGTTAAAATGAGATTAAGGTTTATTGAGAAGCTGCCTGTTTATTTTTATCGTTTGTATTGTGCTTTGCTATATCCCTGCAACTTTTATATCAGATGCAGATTATATTGTGACAGTTATCACTTAAAAAATACTTTTAGTTCCATTTCCCATAGCATCAGAAATTAATCCCCAGATAGCTAGTTCTGTCATTCCTTTCACGGAAAAAGGTTTAATGCAGAAATTTCTCATTACTTACTGTAAAGAGCTTTTGGTAAAAGTTGGAGTATGCCTTTGTAATCCCAGGTTTCTTAGAGCAGCAGTCCCCAACCTTTCTGGCACCAGGGACTGGTTTTGTGGAAGACAGTTTTTCCATGAATTGGTGTCGGGGGTGGGGGTTAGGAGAGTTTGGAATGATTCAAGCACATTACATTTATTGTACACTTTATTTCTATTATTATCACATTAAAATATATAATGAAGTAGTTATAGAACTCACCATAATGTAGAATCAGTGGGAGCCCTGAGCTTGTTTTCCTGCAAGTAAACTGTCCCATCTGGGGGTGATGGGAGACAGGACAGATCATCAGGCATTAGATTCTCATAAAGAACGCTTAACCTAGATCCCTTGCATCCACAGTTTACAGTAGCGTTCATGGTCCTATGAGAAATCTAATGCTGCTGACAGGAGGCAGAGCTCAGGTGGTAATGCGAGCAATGAGGGAGCAGCTGTAAATACAGATGACGCTTTGCTTCCTTGCCTGCCACCCACCTCCTGCTATGTGGCCAAGTTCCTAAAAGGCCATGGACTGGTATCAACCTGTGGTCTAGTGGTTGGGGACCCCTGGTGTCTTAGAGGATCTATTTTTACCCAGAGAAGAACCTGTTTTAAGTTATCTTGTATAAATTTTTTATTTGGTGAAATTCGATATTTTAAAATTGTCACTGTGGTGATATATTCTTTATTAATTGTTAAAGTTAATACTGCTGAGCTGATTAATTCCAGATCATTGGAATACAGTGTTATAGCACCTGGATATAGTCACTTGCATGTATTCTGAAATGCTTACAGTTAACATGTTGAAACATCAACAGATCATTTCTGTCCTGCAAATTCTAATTTCTTTATCCAACTTCCACACTTGTTTATGGCAATACCTTTATCCTCGTTAGTCAGGCTTCTTGATATTCTCTTTTCTTCCACTAGAATGTGCTAACTAGCACTATATACCTAGCACTATGAACACGTGCTATATATCACATTCTAGTGGAAGTATCTAATACTGAATGATAAGCGTTTGAATGAATTAAGGAGAATTATGTGGTAGTAATTATGTGTACATCTTGAGATTCTTTCCATTGGTTTGGATACTTAGTTGGTTGTCAACTGTTTGTCTGGCATGCCTAAGATTACTCTAAAATACAGTGGTTTACTTGTTTAAAAAACTATACTGAGGGGCTTTGGGTAACATAGTGGGGTAAGCCCCCGTGGAATGGCTGTCCCCCAGCAACAAACTGAAATGTGGAATATAATAAAAGTTTTTTCCAATACATATCTAAGCTTTAAGGAAAGAGAGGTTAACCTCCAGATAATAAGCAGAGATCACTCGAAGCCAAAACAGGAACTTATACTCTGGGATTTTAGACCACATATTGGTTGAGAAGTTGATGCTAATTTTAATGTCCATGCAAGGACAGAAAGCCTTAGAACTAGGTAGAGAGGGGAGCTAGAACGTAGCCTGTGTCAAAAAGCTGAATTATCCATGAAAAGAGAGACCTTAATGCCCTAGCCAGTGAAAGCTGCAAGGAATTTTACCTGTGTGCAGAAGACTGTGGATAAGAGGGGAGACCTATGAAAAATAGAAATTCCCATCAAATGCTACCAGTGTTCTTAATTATTCTGTAATCTTCTTTTTTTTATTTTGGAGACAGGGTCTCACTCTGTTGCCCAGGACAGAGTGCAGCGGCACAATCATAGCTCACTGCAGCCTCAAACTCCTGGGCTCAGGGAATCCTTCCACCTCAGCCTCCCGAGTACCTGGGACTATAGTTGCTCACCACCATACCTGGCTGATTAAAAAAAATTTTTTTTTTTTGGTAGAGACAGTGTGTATTTTGCTGCCCAGGCTGCTCTCAAACTCCTGAGCTCATCGCGATTTGGCCTCATCCCGATTTGACCTCCCAAACTGCTGGGATTACAAGCATGAGCCACGGTGCCCAGCCTGTTTGGTATTCTTCCATCTCATATGTAGATGGCGCTGTAACATAAATTTATACCATCTACTTGGTACAGGAGTCCCAAACCAAAGAACGTACATCATAATTGATCAGGAACTGAAAGAAAACTCCCAGGGACATTTTCACAGTTCCTTGTCACTGTCCAGAGGCAAAACAGTTTCCAGAGAAGATGACCTCACAATTGAATTACAGATCATACCAATGAAGGTGAATAGACACAACCAGAAAATAGCACTTTAACAATTAAAGATATTATGGACAAGTCTGAAAGTGATTACAATTATTTACATAATGATGTCAGTAAAGATATATGTAAGTGTATATGAAGTGTATAAAAGAAAAGAAGGAATTGAAGGAATAAGAAACCATCAAAGAAAAGAAAGGCATAATTTAAAAGCTTCTGAAGAACTTCTAGAAATGTGAACATTAAAATTCAAACTTAAATGGTTTAATGGTTAAACAACAGACTAAATTGACAGGAATAATAACTATGAAGAAATGAGCAACAGAAGGCACAAAAAAGACAGAAAATATTAAAAGAGGATGACACAGTAGTGAGAATACCCAGTTAGATTTAATTATCTAAAAGGGGTTTGTCTGTAATCCCAGCTACTCTGTAGGCTGAGGCAGAGAATCACTTGAGCCCAGGAGGTGGAGGTTGCAGTGAGCCGAGATCGTGCCTCTGCACTCCAGCTTGGGTGACACAGCGAGACTCCATCTCAAAAATAAAAATGAAAAAGTAGAGAGAATGAGAAAAGAAAAATTTCAGAATTTAAGAATTCTGATTGAGAATGTATACAGATTCCTAAGCAAGTAGGTTGAAAACATTCATATTCATTTCTGGAAGAATGAGTAACTAGGACCATTGGCAGCATTTGGAGAGCCAAATTGGGAAGGAATGGGAATTAACTCCAAAATACATGCTTTTTGGACCTTTTGAGTTTCTACCTTTGTTCTGTATGTGTATTTACATTGAAGCAGATAAAACACCCATAGCTGAAAAATAAGATGGGAATATATGAGTTAGAAAATTTGGATTAAGGCCAGGTGTGGTAGTTCACACCTGTTAATCCCAGCACTTTGAGAGGCCGAGGTGGGTGGATCATCTGAGGTCAGGATCACCTGAGGTCAGCTCGAAACCAGCCTGTCCAACATGGTAAAACCCTGTCTCTACTAAAAATACAAAAATTAGCTGGGTGTGATGACGGGCACCTGTAATCTCAGCTACTCAGGAGGCTGAGGCAAGAGAATCGCTTGACCCTGCAGGTGGAGGTTGCAGTGAGCCATCTGCACTCTAGCCTGGGTGACAGAGTGAGACTCCATCTCAAAAAAAGAAAAAAGAAAATTTGGATTAAAAATTGAAATAAATTTAGACTTATTTTTTTAAATAGACATGAAATTCGAATATCATACAATTAACCGTTTTAGAATGTACAATTCAGTGGCACTTAGTACATTCACAATGTTTTGTAAGTACCACATCTATCAAGTTACTAAACATTTTCATCATCTCAAAAGAACACTCTGTGCCCATTAAGCAGTTACTCCGCATTTCCCTTCTTCCAGCCAGGCAGCATATTTTTTCTTTAATTGCACATTATCTAAGTTCTTTTTCTTTTTACATTTAAAAAGAAATTTTCAGTTTCTGAGCTTCAGAGGCTTATGCCAACAGGAGGGTTTATTTAGTAGAAAGAGTGCTAGACTTGGAGTAGAAGTTGTGACTACTCCCAGTGCTGCTCTGACCAACTGTGATTTTGGGCAAATAGTTAACCTTTTTTGGGTCTCAGTTCCCCATGTACATGTAAAACAAGGGGTTGGACTACCTGATCTCTGGGACCATCCATTCGTGGATGGGATTGATTTTTTTATTGTAAAAAACATAACAAAATTTACCATCTTAATCATTTTTAAGTGTACAGTTCAGTAGTGTTAATACATACACATTTCTGTGCAATTTCTAGAATGCTTTTCATCTCACAAAACTAAAACTCTATGCCCATGGAACAATTTCCCATTTCTTCCAACCCTCAGCTCCTGACAGCTATCAGCTTTTTACCATCTGTATGGATTTGTCTAATCAGGATATGTCCTATAAGTAACTCAAAGTATGTTACGGATCCTTGTGTTTGGCATC